AAAGTGTAGAAAAAAATTGACAGCCCGATCCGAGTAGAGGAACACCAATTTTATGACCATTAAAGCGATTTTCGTCAAAAAAAAATTTTCAAAAAAATTCAATTTTTCTTAGGCAGACTATTTTATTGCAATTTCTTGCACAAAATACACCTAAAAGTGTAGAAAAAAATTGACAGCCCGATCCGAGTAGAGGAACACCAATTTTATGACCATTAAAGCGATTTTCGTCAAAAAAAAATTTTCAAAAAAATTCAATTTTTCTTAGGCAGACTATTTTATTGCAATTTCTTGCACAAAATACACCTAAAAGTGTAGAAAAAAATTGACAGCCCGATCCGAGTAGAGGAACACCAATTTTATGACCATTAAAGCGATTTTCGTCAAAAAAAAATTTTCAAAAAAATTCAATTTTTCTTAGGCAGACTATTTTATTGCAATTTCTTGCACAAAATACACCTAAAAGTGTAGAAAAAAATTGACAGCCCGATCCGAGTAGAGGAACACCAATTTTATGACCATTAAAGCGATTTTCGTCAAAAAAAAATTTTCAAAAAAATTCAATTTTTCTTAGGCAGACTATTTTATTGCAATTTCTTGCACAAAATACACCTAAAAGTGTAGAAAAAAATTGACAGCCCGATCCGAGTAGAGGAACACCAATTTTATGACCATTAAAGCGATTTTCGTCAAAAAAAAATTTTCAAAAAAATTCAATTTTTCTTAGGCAGACTATTTTATTGCAATTTCTTGCACAAAATACACCTAAAAGTGTAGAAAAAAATTGACAGCCCGATCCGAGTAGAGGAACACCAATTTTATGACCATTAAAGCGATTTTCGTCAAAAAAAAATTTTCAAAAAAATTCAATTTTTCTTAGGCAGACTATTTTATTGCAATTTCTTGCACAAAATACACCTAAAAGTGTAGAAAAAAATTGACAGCCCGATCCGAGTAGAGGAACACCAATTTTATGACCATTAAAGCGATTTTCGTCAAAAAAAAATTTTCAAAAAAATTCAATTTTTCTTAGGCAGACTATTTTATTGCAATTTCTTGCACAAAATACACCTAAAAGTGTAGAAAAAAATTGACAGCCCGATCCGAGTAGAGGAACACCAATTTTATGACCATTAAAGCGATTTTCGTCAAAAAAAAATTTTCAAAAAAATTCAATTTTTCTTAGGCAGACTATTTTATTGCAATTTCTTGCACAAAATACACCTAAAAGTGTAGAAAAAAATTGACAGCCCGATCCGAGTAGAGGAACACCAATTTTATGACCATTAAAGCGATTTTCGTCAAAAAAAAATTTTCAAAAAAATTCAATTTTTCTTAGGCAGACTATTTTATTGCAATTTCTTGCACAAAATACACCTAAAAGTGTAGAAAAAAATTGACAGCCCGATCCGAGTAGAGGAACACCAATTTTATGACCATTAAAGCGATTTTCGTCAAAAAAAAATTTTCAAAAAAATTCAATTTTTCTTAGGCAGACTATTTTATTGCAATTTCTTGCACAAAATACACCTAAAAGTGTAGAAAAAAATTGACAGCCCGATCCGAGTAGAGGAACACCAATTTTATGACCATTAAAGCGATTTTCGTCAAAAAAAAATTTTCAAAAAAATTCAATTTTTCTTAGGCAGACTATTTTATTGCAATTTCTTGCACAAAATACACCTAAAAGTGTAGAAAAAAATTGACAGCCCGATCCGAGTAGAGGAACACCAATTTTATGACCATTAAAGCGATTTTCGTCAAAAAAAAATTTTCAAAAAAATTCAATTTTTCTTAGGCAGACTATTTTATTGCAATTTCTTGCACAAAATACACCTAAAAGTGTAGAAAAAAATTGACAGCCCGATCCGAGTAGAGGAACACCAATTTTATGACCATTAAAGCGATTTTCGTCAAAAAAAAATTTTCAAAAAAATTCAATTTTTCTTAGGCAGACTATTTTATTGCAATTTCTTGCACAAAATACACCTAAAAGTGTAGAAAAAAATTGACAGCCCGATCCGAGTAGAGGAACACCAATTTTATGACCATTAAAGCGATTTTCGTCAAAAAAAAATTTTCAAAAAAATTCAATTTTTCTTAGGCAGACTATTTTATTGCAATTTCTTGCACAAAATACACCTAAAAGTGTAGAAAAAAATTGACAGCCCGATCCGAGTAGAGGAACACCAATTTTATGACCATTAAAGCGATTTTCGTCAAAAAAAAATTTTCAAAAAAATTCAATTTTTCTTAGGCAGACTATTTTATTGCAATTTCTTGCACAAAATACACCTAAAAGTGTAGAAAAAAATTGACAGCCCGATCCGAGTAGAGGAACACCAATTTTATGACCATTAAAGCGATTTTCGTCAAAAAAAAATTTTCAAAAAAATTCAATTTTTCTTAGGCAGACTATTTTATTGCAATTTCTTGCACAAAATACACCTAAAAGTGTAGAAAAAAATTGACAGCCCGATCCGAGTAGAGGAACACCAATTTTATGACCATTAAAGCGATTTTCGTCAAAAAAAAATTTTCAAAAAAATTCAATTTTTCTTAGGCAGACTATTTTATTGCAATTTCTTGCACAAAATACACCTAAAAGTGTAGAAAAAAATTGACAGCCCGATCCGAGTAGAGGAACACCAATTTTATGACCATTAAAGCGATTTTCGTCAAAAAAAAATTTTCAAAAAAATTCAATTTTTCTTAGGCAGACTATTTTATTGCAATTTCTTGCACAAAATACACCTAAAAGTGTAGAAAAAAATTGACAGCCCGATCCGAGTAGAGGAACACCAATTTTATGACCATTAAAGCGATTTTCGTCAAAAAAAAATTTTCAAAAAAATTCAATTTTTCTTAGGCAGACTATTTTATTGCAATTTCTTGCACAAAATACACCTAAAAGTGTAGAAAAAAATTGACAGCCCGATCCGAGTAGAGGAACACCAATTTTATGACCATTAAAGCGATTTTCGTCAAAAAAAAATTTTCAAAAAAATTCAATTTTTCTTAGGCAGACTATTTTATTGCAATTTCTTGCACAAAATACACCTAAAAGTGTAGAAAAAAATTGACAGCCCGATCCGAGTAGAGGAACACCAATTTTATGACCATTAAAGCGATTTTCGTCAAAAAAAAATTTTCAAAAAAATTCAATTTTTCTTAGGCAGACTATTTTATTGCAATTTCTTGCACAAAATACACCTAAAAGTGTAGAAAAAAATTGACAGCCCGATCCGAGTAGAGGAACACCAATTTTATGACCATTAAAGCGATTTTCGTCAAAAAAAAATTTTCAAAAAAATTCAATTTTTCTTAGGCAGACTATTTTATTGCAATTTCTTGCACAAAATACACCTAAAAGTGTAGAAAAAAATTGACAGCCCGATCCGAGTAGAGGAACACCAATTTTATGACCATTAAAGCGATTTTCGTCAAAAAAAAATTTTCAAAAAAATTCAATTTTTCTTAGGCAGACTATTTTATTGCAATTTCTTGCACAAAATACACCTAAAAGTGTAGAAAAAAATTGACAGCCCGATCCGAGTAGAGGAACACCAATTTTATGACCATTAAAGCGATTTTCGTCAAAAAAAAATTTTCAAAAAAATTCAATTTTTCTTAGGCAGACTATTTTATTGCAATTTCTTGCACAAAATACACCTAAAAGTGTAGAAAAAAATTGACAGCCCGATCCGAGTAGAGGAACACCAATTTTATGACCATTAAAGCGATTTTCGTCAAAAAAAAATTTTCAAAAAAATTCAATTTTTCTTAGGCAGACTATTTTATTGCAATTTCTTGCACAAAATACACCTAAAAGTGTAGAAAAAAATTGACAGCCCGATCCGAGTAGAGGAACACCAATTTTATGACCATTAAAGCGATTTTCGTCAAAAAAAAATTTTCAAAAAAATTCAATTTTTCTTAGGCAGACTATTTTATTGCAATTTCTTGCACAAAATACACCTAAAAGTGTAGAAAAAAATTGACAGCCCGATCCGAGTAGAGGAACACCAATTTTATGACCATTAAAGCGATTTTCGTCAAAAAAAAATTTTCAAAAAAATTCAATTTTTCTTAGGCAGACTATTTTATTGCAATTTCTTGCACAAAATACACCTAAAAGTGTAGAAAAAAATTGACAGCCCGATCCGAGTAGAGGAACACCAATTTTATGACCATTAAAGCGATTTTCGTCAAAAAAAAATTTTCAAAAAAATTCAATTTTTCTTAGGCAGACTATTTTATTGCAATTTCTTGCACAAAATACACCTAAAAGTGTAGAAAAAAATTGACAGCCCGATCCGAGTAGAGGAACACCAATTTTATGACCATTAAAGCGATTTTCGTCAAAAAAAAATTTTCAAAAAAATTCAATTTTTCTTAGGCAGACTATTTTATTGCAATTTCTTGCACAAAATACACCTAAAAGTGTAGAAAAAAATTGACAGCCCGATCCGAGTAGAGGAACACCAATTTTATGACCATTAAAGCGATTTTCGTCAAAAAAAAATTTTCAAAAAAATTCAATTTTTCTTAGGCAGACTATTTTATTGCAATTTCTTGCACAAAATACACCTAAAAGTGTAGAAAAAAATTGACAGCCCGATCCGAGTAGAGGAACACCAATTTTATGACCATTAAAGCGATTTTCGTCAAAAAAAAATTTTCAAAAAAATTCAATTTTTCTTAGGCAGACTATTTTATTGCAATTTCTTGCACAAAATACACCTAAAAGTGTAGAAAAAAATTGACAGCCCGATCCGAGTAGAGGAACACCAATTTTATGACCATTAAAGCGATTTTCGTCAAAAAAAAATTTTCAAAAAAATTCAATTTTTCTTAGGCAGACTATTTTATTGCAATTTCTTGCACAAAATACACCTAAAAGTGTAGAAAAAAATTGACAGCCCGATCCGAGTAGAGGAACACCAATTTTATGACCATTAAAGCGATTTTCGTCAAAAAAAAATTTTCAAAAAAATTCAATTTTTCTTAGGCAGACTATTTTATTGCAATTTCTTGCACAAAATACACCTAAAAGTGTAGAAAAAAATTGACAGCCCGATCCGAGTAGAGGAACACCAATTTTATGACCATTAAAGCGATTTTCGTAAAAAAAAAATTTTCAAAAAAATTCAATTTTTCTTAGGCAGACTATTTTATTGAAATTTCTTGCACAAAATACACCTAAAAGTGTAGAAAAAATTTGACAGCCCGATCCGAGTAGAGGAACACCAATTTTATGACCATTAAAGCGATTTTCGAAAAAAAAAATTTTTCAAAACAATTCAATTTTTCTTAGGCAGATTATTTTATTGCAATTTCTTGCACAAAATACACCTAAAAGTGTAGAAAAAAATTGACAGCCCGATCCGAGTAGAGGAACACCAATTTTAAGACCATTAAAGCGATTTTCGAAAAAAAAAATTTTCAAAACAATTCAATTTTTCTTAGGCAGATTATTTTAGTGCAATTTCTTTCACAAAATACACCTAAAAGTGTAGAAAAAAATTGACAGCCCGATCCGAGTAGAGGAACACCAATTTTATGACCATTGAAGCGATTTTTGAAAAAAAAAATTTTTCAAAACAATTCAATTTTTCTTAGGCAGATTATTTTATTGAAATTTCTTGCACAAAATACACCTAAAAGTGTAGAAAAAAATTGACAGCCCGATCCGAGTAGAGGAACACCAATTTTATGACCATTAAAGCGATTTTCGTAAAAAAAAATTTTCAAAAAAATTCAATTTTTCTTAGGCAGACTATTTTATTGAAATTTCTTGCACAAAATACACCTAAAAGTGTAAAAAAAAGTTGACAGCCCGATCCGAGTAGAGGAACACCAATTTTATGACCATTAAAACGATTTTCGTAAAAAAAAAATTTTCAAAAAAATTCAATTTTTCTTAGGCAGACTATTTTATTGAAATTTCTTGCACAAAATACACCTAAAAGTGTAGAAAAAAATTGACAGCCCGATCCGAGTAGAGGAACACCAATTTTATGACCATTAAAACGATTTTTGTAAAAAAAAAATTTTCAAAAAAATTCAATTTTTCTTAGGCAGACTATTTTATTGAAATTTCTTGCACAAAATACACCTAAAAGTGTAGAAAAAATTTGACAGCCCGATCCGAGTAGAGGAACACCAATTTTATGACCATTAAAGCGATTTTCGAAAAAAAAAATTTTTCAAAACAATTCAATTTTTCTTAGGCAGATTATTTTATTGCAATTTCTTGCACAAAGTACACCTAAAAGTGTAGAAAAAATTTGACAGCCCGATCCGAGTAGAGGAACACCAATTTTATGACCATTAAAGCGATTTTCGTAAAAAAAAATTTTCAAAAAAATTTAATTTTTCTTAGGCAGATTATTTTATTGCAATTTCTTGCACAAAATACACCTAAAAGTGTAGAAAAAAATTGACAGCCCGAACCGAGTAGAGGAACACCAATTTTATGACCCTTAAAGCGATTTTCGTCAAAAAAAAATTTTCAAAAAAATTCAATTTTTCTTAGGCAGACTATTTTATTGTAATTTCTTGCACAAAATACACCCAAATGTGTAGAAAAAATTTGACAGCCCGATCCGAGTAGAGGAACACCAATTTTATGACCATTAAAGCGATTTTCGTAAAAAAAAAATTTTCAAAAAAATTCAATTTTTCTTAGGCAGATTATTTTATTGCAATTTCTTGCACAATATACACCTAAAAGTGTAGAAAAAAATTGACAGCCCGATCCGAGTAGAGGAACACCAATTTTATGACCATTAAAGCGATTTTCGTAAAAAAAAAATTTTCAAAAAAATTCAATTTTTCTTAGGCAGACTATTTTATTGAAATTTCTTGCACAAAATACACCTAAAAGTGTAAAAAAAATTTGACAGCCCGATCCGAGTAGAGGAACACCAATTTTATGACCATTAAAGCGATTTTCGAAAAAAAAATTTTTCAAAAAAATTCAATTTTTCTTAGGCAGACAATTTTATTGCAATTTCTTGCACAAAATACACCCAAATGTGTAGAAAAAAATTGACAGCCCGATCCGAGTAGAGGAACACCAATTTTATGACCATTAAAACGATTTTCGTAAAAAAAAAATTTTCAAAAAAATTCAATTTTTCTTAGGCAGACTATTTTATTGAAATTTCTTGCACAAAATACACCTAAAAGTGTAGAAAAAAATTGACAGCCCGATCCGAGTAGAGGAACACCAATTTTATGACCATTAAAGCGATTTTTGTAAAAAAAAAATTTTCAAAAAAATTCAATTTTTCTTAGGCAGACTATTTTATTGAAATTTCTTGCACAAAATACACCTAAAAGTGTAGAAAAAATTTGACAGCCCGATCCGAGTAGAGGAACACCAATTTTATGACCATTAAAGCGATTTTCGAAAAAAAAAATTTTTCAAAACAATTCAATTTTTCTTAGGCAGATTATTTTATTGCAATTTCTTGCACAAAGTACACCTAAAAGTGTAGAAAAAATTTGACAGCCCGATCCGAGTAGAGGAACACCAATTTTATGACCATTAAAGCGATTTTCGTAAAAAAAAATTTTCAAAAAAATTTAATTTTTCTTAGGCAGATTATTTTATTGCAATTTCTTGCACAAAATACACCTAAAAGTGTAGAAAAAAATTGACAGCCCGAACCGAGTAGAGGAACACCAATTTTATGACCCTTAAAGCGATTTTCGTCAAAAAAAAATTTTCAAAAAAATTCAATTTTTCTTAGGCAGACTATTTTATTGTAATTTCTTGCACAAAATACACCCAAATGTGTAGAAAAAAATTGACAGCCCGATCCGAGTAGAGGAACACCAATTTTATGACCATTAAAGCCATTTTCGTAAAAAAAAAATTTTCAAAAAAATTCAATTTTTCTTAGGCAGACTATTTTATTGAAATTTCTTGCACAAAATACACCTAAAAGTGTAGAAAAAATTTGACAGCCCGATCCGAGTAGAGGAACACCAATTTTATGAATATTAAAGCCATTTTCGTAAAAAAAAAATTTTCAAAAAAATTCAATTTTTCTTAGGCAGACTATTTTATTGAAATTTCTTGCACAAAATACACCTAAAAGTGTAAAAAAAATTTGACAGCCCGATCCGAGTAGAGGAACACCAATTTTATGACCATTAAAGCGATTTTCGAAAAAAAAAATTTTTCAAAAAAATTCAATTTTTCTTAGGCAGACAATTTTATTGCAATTTCTTGCACAAAATACACCCAAATGTGTAGAAAAAAATTGACAGCCCGAACCGAGTAGAGGAACACCAATTTTATGACCATTAAAGCGATTTTCGTCAACAAAAAATTTTCAAAACAATTCAATTTTTCTTAGGCAGACTATTTTATTGCAATTTCTTGCACAAAATACACCTAAAAGTGTAGAAAAAAATTGACAGCCCGATCCGAGTAGAGGAACACCAATTTTATGACCATTAAAGCGATTTTCGAAAAAAAAAATTTTTCAAAACAATTCAATTTTTCTTAGGCAGATTATTTTATTGCAATTTCTTTCACAAAATACACCTAAAAGTGTAGAAAAAAATTGACAGCCCGATCCGAGTAGAGGAACACCAATTTTATGACCATTAAAGCGATTTTCGAAAAAAAAAATTTTTCAAAAAAATTCAATTTTTCTTAGGCAGACAATTTTATTGCAATTTCTTGCACAAAATACACCCAAATGTGTAGAAAAAAATTGACAGCCCGATCCGAGTAGAGGAACACCAATTTTATGACCATTAAAGCGATTTTCGTAAAAAAAATTTTTTCAAAAAAATTCAATTTTTCTTAGGCAGACTATTTTATTGTAATTTCTTGCACAAAATACACCCAAATGTGTAGAAAAAAATTGACAGCCCGAACCGAGTAGAGGAACACCAATTTTATGACCATTAAAGCGATTTTCGTCAACAAAAAATTTTCAAAACAATTCAATTTTTCTTAGGCAGACTATTTTATTGCAATTTCTTGCACAAAATACACCTAAAAGTGTAGAAAAAAATTGACAGCCCGATCCGAGTAGAGGAACACCAATTTTATGACCATTAAAGCGATTTTCGAAAAAAAAAATTTTTCAAAACAATTCAATTTTTCTTAGGCAGATTATTTTATTGCAATTTCTTTCACAAAATACACCTAAAAGTGTAGAAAAAAATTGACAGCCCGATCCGAGTAGAGGAACACCAATTTTATGACCATTAAAGCGATTTTCGTCAACAAAAAATTTTCAAAACAATTCAATTTTTCTTAGGCAGACTATTTTATTGCAATTTCTTGCACAAAATACACCTAAAAGTGTAGAAAAAAATTGACAGCCCGATCCGAGTAGAGGAACACCAATTTTATGACCATTAAAGCGATTTTCGAAAAAAAAAATTTTTCAAAACAATTCAATTTTTCTTAGGCAGATTATTTTATTGCAATTTCTTTCACAAAATACACCTAAAAGTGTAGAAAAAAATTGACAGCCCGATCCGAGTAGAGGAACACCAATTTTATGACCATTAAAGCCATTTTCGTAAAAAAAAAATTTTCAAAAAAATTCAATTTTTCTTAGGCAGACTATTTTATTGAAATTTCTTGCACAAAATACACCTAAAAGTGTAGAAAAAATTTGACAGCCCGATCCGAGTAGAGGAACACCAATTTTATGACCATTAAAGCGATTTTCGAAAAAAAAAATTTTTCAAAACAATTCAATTTTTCTTAGGCAGATTATTTTATTGCAATTTCTTGCACAAAGTACACCTAAAAGTGTAGAAAAAAATTGACAGCCCGATCCGAGTAGAGGAACACCAATTTTATGACCATTAAAGCGATTTTCGAAAAAAAAAATTTTTCAAAACCATTCAATTTTTCTTAGGCAGACAATTTTATTGCAATTTCTTGCACAAAATACACCTAAAAGTGGAGAAAAAAATTGACAGCCCGATCCGAGTAGAGGAACACCAATTTTATGACCATTAAAGCGATTTTCGTAAAAAAAAAATTTTCAAAAAAATTCAATTTTTCTTAGGCAGACTATTTTATTGAAATTTCTTGCACAAAATACACCTAAAAGTATAGAAAAAATTTGACAGCCCTATCCGAGTAGAGGAACACCAATTTTATGACCATTAAAGCGATTTTCAAAAAAAAAAATTTTTCAAAACAATTTAATTTTTCTTAGGCAGATTATTTTATTGCAATTTCTTGCACAAAGTACACCTAAAAGTGTAGAAAAAAATTGACAGCCCGAACCGAGTAGAGGAACACCAATTTTATGACCATTAAAGCGATTTTCGTCAAAAAAAAATTTTCAAAAAAATTCAATTTTTCTTAGGCAGACTATTTTATTGCAATTTCTTGCATAAAATACACCTAAAAGTGTAGAAAAAATTTGACAGCCCGATCCGAGTAGAGGAACACCAATTTTATGACCATTAAAGCGATTTTCGTAAAAAAAAATTTTCAAAAAAATTCAATTTTTCTTAGGCAGATTATTTTATTGCAATTTCTTGCACAAAATACACCTAAAAGTGTAGAAAAAAATTGACAGCCCGAACCGAGTAGAGGAACACCAATTTTATGACCATTAAAGCGATTTTCGTCAAAAAAAAATTTTTAAAAAAATTCAATTTTTCTTAGGCAGACTATTTTATTGCAATTTCTTGCACAAAATACACCCAAATGTGTAGAAAAAATTTGACAGCCCGATCCGAGTAGAGGAACACCAATTTTATGACCATTAAAGCGATTTTCGTAAAAAAAAAATTTTTTTTAAAATTCAATTTTTCTTAGGCAGACTATTTTATTGCAATTTCTTGCACAAAATACACCTAAAAGTGTAGAAAAAAATTAACAGCCCGATCCGAGTAGAGGAACACCAATTTTATGACCATTAAAGCGATTTTCGTAAAAAAAAAATTTTCAAAACAATTCAATTTTTCTTAGGCAGACAATTTTATTGCAATTTCTTGCACAAAATACACCTAAAAGTGTAGAAAAAATTTGACAACCCGATCCGAGTAGAGGAACACCAATTTTATGACCATTAAAGCGATTTTCGTAAAAAAAAAATTTTTTTTTAAATTCAATTTTTCTTAGGCAGACTATTTTATTGCAATTTCTTGCACAAAATACACCTAAAAGTGTAGAAAAAAATTGACAGCCCGATCCGAGTAGAGGAACACCAATTTTATGACCATTAAAGCGATTTTCGAAAAAAAAAATTTTTCAAAACCATTCAATTTTTCTTAGGCAGACAATTTTATTGCAATTTCTTGCACAAAATACACCTAAAAGTGTAGAAAAAAATTGACAGCCCGATCCGAGTAGAGGAACACCAATTTTATGACCATTAAAGCGATTTTCGTCAAAAAAAAATTTTCTAAAAAATTCAATTTTTCTTAGGCAGATTATTTTATTGCAATTTCTTGCACAAAATACACCTAAAAGTGTAGAAAAAAATTGACAGCCCGAACCGAGTAGAGGAACACCAATTTTATGACCATTAAAGCGATTTTCGTCAACAAAAAATTTTCAAAACAATTCAATTTTTCTTAGGCAGACTATTTTATTGCAATTTCTTGCACAAAATACACCTAAAAGTGTAGAAAAAAATTGACAGCCCGATCCGAGTAGAGGAACACCAATTTTATGACCATTAAAGCGATTTTCGTAAAAAAAAAATTTTTCAAAACAATTCAATTTTTCTTAGGCAGATTATTTTATTGCAATTTCTTGCACAAAATACACCTAAAAGTGTAGAAAAAAATTGACAGCCCGATCCGAGTAGAGGAACACCAATTTTATGACCATTAAAGCGATTTTCGTAAAAAAAAAATTTTCAAAAAAATTCAATTTTTCTTAGGCAGACTATTTTATTGAAATTTCTTGCACAAAATACACCTAAAAGTGTAGAAAAAAATTGACAGCCCGAACCGAGTAGAGGAACACCAATTTTATGACCATTAAAGTGATTTTCGTAAAAAAAAAATTTTTTTTAAAATTCAATTTTTTTTAGGCAGACTATTTTGTTGAAATTTCTTGCACAAAATACACCTAAAAGTGTAGAAAGAAATTGACAGCCAGAACCGAGTAGAGGAACACCAATTTTATGACCATTAAAGCGATTTTCGTCAAAAAAAAATTTTCAAAAAAATTCAATTTTTCTTAGGCAGACGATTTTATTGCATATTCTTGCACAAAATACACCTAAAAGTGTAGAAAAAAATTGACGGCCAAATTAAAATAGAGGAAGGAACCTATTACTACCATTTAAGCGTTTTTGTTAAAAAAATTTTTTTTTTTAAATTCAATTTTTCTTAGACAGACTATTTCGTCTCACTTATTTAAAAGAGAGCAGTTAAGTTATTCGCTAGCTTAAGAATTTGATAGAAAGAAATCTTAGTGTCAATTAATCCTTTGAGCTGCAATTCATGGCAATTTGTTGTCGAATTCTCTCTAGAAGTTTAATATTCTAAAAGGGAGTATCAAACTTGATCTGCGTTATATAGCCTGTAGTAATCGAGAAAAGATTAGACAGGAGTCAGCTGTAGATTCAGTGGTCAGACAAGGTGGGAAGTATAGAAGCGAAGGGTATGAAAGGCCTGTCGAAAAGCCACACACGGACCAGTGGTCACTAATCACTCTAGTTCAAGTCAGCATCAGTTTACTGGGGTCGCTTTTTGCCTCGTCATTCATAACAGCTGAGATTTTTCATACATTCGTCATGGCTTTTCATATTTGTTATTTTGAAAAACGAAAAAATAAACTGGACAGAATCTAAAAAATAAAAGAATATTTAAATGTCAAATATTTAATATGAATTCTGTATATATTGGAAAGTAAGTCAGCAGCCACTGATTGTCAAAGATTGCGTCTTGCGAGAAAAAGAGAATAAAAAGGAGTGAGTGTGAGAGGGTGGTCGTTGTCGATATGGAAGCAACCGATGAGACCAGCAGGCTGACAATAATGCGACACAAACACTTTCGATGCAAAGTATGCGACGTATTTCAGACGACCCCGTGCCCAATCGGATCGGTTATTGAATCGTTAAGCCAAGACGAATAAAAAGATCTGCATAAGCGACCCGTTCCATCGTATTTTTACCCCGTGTCTTTACCCACTTCGTTCACGACGCCGACGCCACCCCCTTGTACACGGGGTGCAAATAATATTTTGAGACGCTAAAATGTGTCAAGCGACTGATCCCAGTCTGACATTTGAATATCCAGGGGTTGGAGTTGAGCTTCAGCTTCAGTTAGTATTTTCAGTGCTACTGATGGCAATACGTTGAAGATTTTCAGAGAGGGATAGGCCAAAGCGGATCAAGCCCAGATATACAATATTTATAAAGCTTTATACGAAATATCCAATATTTTCAATTTTAACCCAAGGGCCATTCTTCAAATTAACCAATATTCATTCAATTTTACGAGCATTTCTTTTCTTGCAGTCTCCGTTAATTAGACAGGTTTCTCACCTAATTCACCTAGGATAAAAATTTACTCTTGATTAATTTGCTAATATTACAAATTTTTTCCCAAATATTCTTTTCAAACGTGCAATTAATCGTAAAGAACATAAGCAAGGTGTGATTTTTGAAAGTAAAATTTTTTTTATTTGAAAATATTTCGTTCAAGTACATTAAAATCCAAGAATGTAACAATCACGATAAGTATCTGATCAACACTCTTAAATATTTCAGGAATGTTCAATAATTCCAATAAGTATGCTGAAATCTTGTGCACTAATGATTGTCCGTTCATACATTGTATTAAAATCTTTTAATTTAATATGGTCTTAAGTTTAAAGATTTCTGATAGATACATGTTAATGTTTGAAATTTGAATAAATTACAAAAAGAGAGAGAAGTTGAAAATGAAAGAGTGAGAAAGAGAGAAAACACACGAGCCCAAAACGAGGTTCTTTTAATATTAAAATAAACCTTGAATTTTTTACTTACTTAATACAAACAACGACCAAGACGAATTCGTATTCGTCTTAGTCGAAACCTGTTTATCCTTCAAAATGCAATCTATTTGCAAGTTTTAATTTTTGTAAATTGTCATGCTCATTTATATATTTTAAAATGAAATGGACCACTTATGTCGATGGCAGTGGTAGAATTGCTTTGGTCATCGTCAATGGAGCTGCTTTGATATGCCACTAACTTCATCTTACAGATAATGCCTGACATGGCGGCGCATTCCTTTCAAGTAATTGACTAACCTGCCCGGGTAGAAAGTCCTACGATATTACTGTTGGCGACAGTACTCAACAACATTTCCGTTGCACAAAGTTGCGACCGTTAAAACCACACGTTTAATCGCCTTGTCGAGCCAGTATTGCAAATCCCCCGCCACACCCGCCACTTTCTCAACTCTTCAACTCAATCTTTATTCATTCTCTTTTTTTGTAATTCTATCAATTAATTGCCCTCTGAAATTCTTATTTCATGCATATAAGAATTGTATCTTTCATATACATTTTTAGTGAATTTAACATTGAGCTTATTAAATTTAATGCATGAGAAATTTCAAAATTATGCTTAAATGTAAATTTTTAATAATTTTTATATATATTACTAGCGCCAACCGTTGTTATTTTACATTTAAAATTATTTAAAGACTTACAAAGTATTAAAATTATTAATATTTTATCTAAATGTTGAGGTTATGTTCGTTTCTTGGTTAGGGGAATTTTAAGTTGTTTGTCGGATATAGCATCAATCCTACATCCTTGATCTATGTCCTTGAATTTTGAGGTTATGATTGACAAATGTCTATTTTCACGTCGTGAAAAGAAGTGACTTTGGCCAAATGTATGGCTGTAAACAGACGTGACTTTAGTGGATTGTCTATTATTACGACGTAAAGAGGCGTGACTTTAGTCTATTGTCTATTTTCCCGCCGTGAAATGACGTGACTTTAGACAAATATCTACTTTCATGCCGTAAACAGACGTGACTTCAGTCGATTATCTATTTTTACGCCGTGAGAAAACGTGACTAGTCAAATATCTATTTTCACGCCGTGAAAAGACGTGACTTTAGCCAAATATCTATTTTCGCGTCGTGAAAAGACGTGGCTTTAGCTAAATGTTTATTTTTATGCCGTTAACAGACGTAAGTTTAGTCTATTTCAAATCCACTTATTTACTGCCACGACTGGTTGAAGAGCAAATCGCAAAGTAAATAAACAAGTGTGCCAATTGAACAACTGTTGATCCAACCGTGACCGTACGAGAGATCTTTGAGGGAGATCTCGTCAGGTATATTGCAATGACGATACTCGAATGACACTTTATCGCTGTGATTTGAGCTTATAAGAGAAACTAGGCAAAGATGCCAACATGGATAAAAGCTATTAGCACCGGCACTGCACCCAGAGAAAATATATATTCTCTCCACACAGGTACTTGAACTCGATGAGTGGGAACTTTTCCAATGCGACGCGACGGGTTTATATTAAATCTTTTTTCTCTTGATTTTACCTTATAGGCGGGATTTCACTATATATTTCTAGCATCTATAGTATTGCTGATTATAGACGCGAGGCGCGAGTGTTAAATGTTTTGCAAGTCGATCGTAAACTCGTTACGTTTACCTATATATAGTTAGTGGAAAATATCTGACTCTAAATCTAGCAAACATTTTGAGAGCAATATGTGCAGTCGTGAAGTTCAAATTGCGCCACGTTTTTGCGAAATCTTTTTTTTTGCTAATAAAATTTTAAGATCTTGGATAATTAAGCTGGATTGTAAAACAAACATTTATGGTGTTGTTTCTTAAATAATTCATGTAGAATTATTTTGGCTCTGCGTGACACCTTCTTGTTTTGCCAATTTTCAAAGCGATGTTCCTATGGTGAAAGGGTAAATTTCTTCATTCTTCTGAAATTTATGATTCATGTAAAGTGATTTGTAATCTGTATTCTTTTTCTTGAATGTATTCTTGCATTTGTTTATTTTTTCAATGATCGTTTTTGAGCCTAACATAGAAGAATAAACAACTTGTTAGTTATAGTAAATGTTATATATGCGGTTGCTGGAGCAAATGTTTGGAAAAAATTAGTTAGTAGCTGACATTTCTCTCCGTGTGGAACTTTCCCAAAAAAAAAACTACATTTGATAATAAATGATTTACGAGCTGTTGATAAAATTATTATGATTTCCCGTGAAATTCCATAAAAGTATTATAAGTAGAAATACACTTTTCGAATGATAACTTGGAGAACATGTTCAAGATTCAAAAACAAGTCATACGAATTATAATTCTCGATAAAGTTTACAGGATTTGACTTATTTACAACCAACGTGCATATTTTATAGGAGAATATCAGAAAATTTGCACATTTACTTCCATGGGAAGACTGTCACTTTGTATAGAAGTAAAGCGGTTATCTCGGTGTTTTTTTTTTCTTTTTATATAAATATATAAGATTTGCCAGTCGCGAAAGGAGACGAGACAGAATGGTATGGGCGTGGACATGAACATATGTGGATGGATGCAAATTTGCAAGTTTGTTGTTAAGAGCGTGCTTGTCGTGCGGCGGCGTGAGATGTGGTCCGTCAAAAAGCCGTAAAACGCAAGGCCAAGTAGTTCGGTCACATATAAGAGGTGGACCTTAAAGTTTACATACATATATACACATATACTTTTCTCATACTTCTCGTTTATAAGTTATACTCATACATATTACCATGTCATTACTTTGTAGCCTTTTCTCCTTAAACGGAGCTGCAAGAATATACTGACCAATTCTCTAAATAAAATGAGTCCTCCTTTAATGGACCTTCAATATGCGACAAAAAATTGCACTTCCAATTCTAGTCACACTATAATTTAATTTTAACAGATATTTTAAAAATTTTATTCGAATTTTTTAGAAGTACTAATAATAGTACTAAGTAGGAAGAATACTAGATTGTAAATTTTCGACTCTTTTTTTTTTGAAGTTCC